CCGTAGGTAGGTCCTTTTGAAATTCTTGATGTAATAGCTCTTGATGAAAACCAAACAGCTCTTGATAAAAACCAAATAGCTCTTGATGAAAACCTAGGCAAGGTATTTTGTTTTAATTTAAAACATAAAAAATGTATTAAATGCATTAATTGCATATTTAATGTAAAATACTAAATTATTTAATTAATGTACATTACCTTTCTATTATATTCCACGAGAACCCTAGGACAAGTCCTTCTATGATGACCAACTATGAAGCATTAGGTTCACCTAACAATGCTACTTGTCGTAACATGCGGGTCCGTGAACTTGACCGTTAAACTTGAAAAAAAATTAAGGAGTCATCACTATTCATTTTGTGTTAGGTGTGATTGATCACCTATTAATTTTGTTATAATCAACGAGATCCTAAATTGATTTTAGGTTTATTGAAAGAACAATAAGTTGATCTGCAACTTATTAGAGTTAGATTCGAGAGTACGATTATGTACGGAGAAGGATTAGTAGCCTTGTGACGCTCATTCCATAAACAATATCACTTAATCATATGTTGTCCTAATCCATTAATTTAATTCTTATGTTTCCTTAATTATTGTTTATTTACTTTATTTTCTAATTTGTTAGCAAATTAAAATATTTTATTTAGTTTTACGGATGCACATGATGCAATTTGAAATGATGTCATGACTTACCAATTTTAAATAATAGGAAGTGAAAACTTTGTATTAGAAAATCATTCGTAGACCATCTTAACACTTTAATGAAATCCTGAAGTTTTGCTCACCTAGAGATATCTTCAGAAGAACTCGTCTCTACAAGGCCTTCAAGAAAATCCCATCATCGAGGTTCTCATCCCATTAATAAACTAAACATGTCGTATGCTATGTCAAAATAAAATTATGAATGATGTCACATAAGCGTGTTTATGAACATAATTTCATTGATTACAATTTATATATATTTAATTGTTTAATATAATTTAATAACCCATTTATTTGTTTGTTTGCTATATATATCTTTTAAAGAACATTTTATTTAAATATATGTGTTTGCCTCATTTATTTTGACTATATATATTTTAAGAAACATTCTATTTAAATCGATAATATATTTTTTAATTAATATTAGGGGTTAATATTATTTTATTTTATTGAATATTTTTTATTGAACAAATAATTAATCTTTTATTTGCAATATATTTCTCTTCAATTAACTACTAACCATGTCAAATTTAATTTTAGGTGGAATATTATATAAATTTGTTTCTGTATGAATTAAAGGAAAACTACAATATAAAATTAGGATTTATCTCAACACTTCGGAGAAAACTCTAATTGAATTCTACACCTAGGAAAGTCACTCGAAAATAGCAACTCTTTGCCTTTCTAGGTGAATTCATCTTCGGTCTAATTTGATATTCTCTTTGTTAATAATATTACATATGTACATGCATTTTCCACACATATATATTCTATTTTCTTAATTATTAACCCTAAATATTACTTCCCTTTTTATTATATGTTCTTCTATACTTATTTTTTTATAACTAAATATTTACCTTTTATATTTTAACTCATTATTATTATTATTATTTTATAACTAAATATTTTTTTACTTTATATATTTTTTATATGCCTAAATACATTTTGTTTACAACTAAATACTTATCTATTTCTAATATTTGTCATTTTATTCTTTACTTACCTACAAAGTAATTTTTAGATATTTCACTTTTTCATTTTTTTAATGTAGTCTTAAATCTATTTTGATATATACATATATTTTCTATTTATCATTTTTTTACCTATTTTACATAAATACCTATTTTTCTATTTACATATATTATTATTATTATTATTATTATTATTATTATTACGTAGATTTCCCTATTTCAATAATTTCACCTCCCATTCCTCTAGTTTTCATGCTGCTACAAACATATTTCATTTTTATTATTTTATATATATATTTTTCATGTGTATTGTATTTATTAAAAAAAACTATACTAAAAATTCTCTAAAACAAACCCAACCAACATAAATGTCCAAAACACAAGCCCAATAAACCAGAGATCTGAAACTTACCGAAGCTTGAGCCTAGATTAGCCCAGGGAAAACTGGACCAGTACGGAGCCCACAAGCCTGCTTCAAGAGATCAACACCTTCCAGTGAAACGGCATCGTTCCAAGCTTCCTTTTTAGCAACCTCTTGGTGTTGCCAACAGCAGCGTCTTTGGGTTTGGTAGCTCGATGCCAAACCCTTGTCTTTTTTTAAAATTGACTTTCGTTTTTCATCATATGAGAGGAGGGCGGAAAACAGGCGAATTCGAAAGGGTAAAAAATCTTAGCTAGAAGTAGTGTTTGTTTTGGAGAAAAAGATGTTGGGTCCTAGGGAGATGAGAAAATATGACTACTTAGTAGTCTAGCGTTTGTTGGTTGTCACAGCAGTCGAGTCTCTACTGCCATGCCGAGCATGCCAGCAATTCAATTTTTCTTTTTTTATTTTTAATTAATTTTTTAAATTATATATATATTTTAAAAAATAAACAGTCTACATTACTCCTCCTGGCATTGCCATCTCTAACTGACACTTTCCCAAGTTCCCTTTTCTTGTTCTTCTTGAGTATGCTGGGGATACGGTAAAGTAGTGAAAGATCCTCTAGATCTATTTACCCTCTGAACTCAACAATGGTGAAGTCAGGTATAGGGTGAATGTAGTCATTGCATGCCGGCATGAAATTTTCCTTAAAGGTGTAGTTGACACAATATTGCTCTAAATCACCTCCATTGTAATTTATGCAAGCTGTTGCATGCTAGCAAGGAATACTTAAATGCAGTCAAACACAAGGTTAGTAAGCCTTGAAATAAACAACCAATCAGTCTATACATGAAATATGTTGAGACACCCTTACTTAAAATATTCCATACACCATATGGACAAGTTACCATACTCATCCCCAAGCTAACAGCATACGTCATGCCACCTTAAAACACACTAAACTCAAAATTCAAGGTAGCAAGCTTGTTAGCAATCCAAACACTTGTAGCAATAGAATTATCGTCACTATCTTTTTAATCTTAAAGTTTTCTTATCCAAACATAGGTTTGCATAAACCATCCACTCACAGCCATTTCTTTTACAGTAAGCCTTATACTTAGTTTTCTCATTTTTGGCTTTATAAAACTCTATCCCTTCTTGGATCATATAATCAGTCATCACCTCCCTAAAGTGATATACATTTATAAACAACATATTCTCTTCTAATATAACCTTCTCATTCTTATCAAGAGTATAAAGTATGCTTCTAAGAGACCTATCTATTGCTCTACCTTCCTTGTAACGTTCATCACTATCCTAGTTCCCTCCTCTACATCAGTGCCAATATTGAAAAAACCATCATTCTCTTTCATTTTCTTCAACCTTAACATTTTGCTCATAATTGCTTTGAGAATAACTTATATCTTTGTCACTTTTTGTCTTAAGCATTCAATCTACATCTTCACTGGATACATCTTCTCCATTAATGTTCCTTACTAAATCACTACTTTCCCTATCTAAATCACTGCTTTCTTCATCACTAATACCAACAATAGCAAAAGGTCCTTTACCAACTTTACTTCTACCTCATCCTTGACCTCTACTTAAACCTTTGCCATCTCTACTGGAAGTTCCAACTTTAACCTCTACTTCAACTTTACTTTCATGATCTTTGCCTGAAGTAGAGACATCTAGAACACTACAACTAAACTCACCAATCTTACCTCTACTAGCACGTAAAACAACATTCATAGGTCTAGTAGAGACACGCACATTAGCATTTTTGACAAAAAAAAAAAACTTATCAGATTTCATTGTTTACAGTGAAATAGCAGGAATCAGGCCTAAGAATAGATGAATTTTCTTGGTACCTTTATAAAATTTGAAAACCTCGTTTGATTTAGAGTGTTGTGAAGTAATGGAGACACCCATTCTTACTCTAGCGTTGGAATTGCCCACCAACATTTCAAAGACATCATTTGTGAGCTATATGTACTAATATCTATATGGATCGACATTACCAATAGTTATAACCTTCTTGTCACGGTGCACAACCAAGTCATATAGCATCTCCACCATATCCAGACTTGAAAAACCCAATTAGAATAGGTTAGTAACTTTAAAATATTGAACAATAATCCAATATTGTTCTTTATAGGTTAGTAACTCATATTTCTTTATATGGCTCCAATGTTTGTGAGTATGGCATTCGATATGTCTTATTATTTCAATATACATTATCTTAATCTAATTTGTGGTTATTTTTTATGTTTGTTCATATCTAGGTGAGTTATTGGTTAGTTTGCATGAAAGCGTCCACTCAAATGTTGCACGAACTATCACATACGTAATTGAAGGAATGTAGTCCGTGACATTGTGACTGGAAAGGTGCTAGAGTCGGGACTGCCTGAGGCATAGTCATGGAAGTAGACAGCAATTTTGGTTTCTTTATGTTCATCGTGATCTGCTTTGGCTGGGATTGAGAACTTCGCCATGGATATGCCTAGAACAACTAGAATTACCAAGGCAAAGCTGGTGTTAGTTGCCATTTTTCCAAAATCTAAATCAAAGCCAAAGATAAGAACACTTTGTGCATGTTTGGTGGGGGACAATGGAATAACGAATTTCCATTTCGGAGAATCTTGTCTTCTGATATCGTAAGTTGTTTGATGTCATAAATAAAATTTACAGTGTGTTTATTATTTTGCAGTCTTGTAAATTTTGTCTTCAAACTTTTGTTTATATTGCCTGAACCAATTTTGGTATTAGATCGGTCATTACGTTGGAATTATATCAGTTTTGTGAAATAAAGTTTAAAAATGAAGAAAAATGAAACTTGAAGGGAAAAATAATGACTATGTACACAATTTGTGTGTGCAAGATGTGTCCGTGTAGCATTATCCTCTACTTTATCCAAAAAAAAGAATGGCAAGAAAGTTTATGCAATTATGATCTTCCAGTGAATTCTCTCAAAAGGGGGTTTCTTATTTCTGTTTTGAGTTATCAAATATTAAACTAAGCTTTATCATTTAGCAAAAAAATCCAAAAGAAGAGGGGAAAAGAAAGAACAAATAACTAAAGTACGTTCTAACTTTTGACGACACTGATGATGAAGCTTGAAGCATACGTTTGATGTGTTGTACCAAAATAAGGTTGTATTTACAGCAGCAGTTATCCAAGTGCCAACCCCAGTGAGGAAAGTCAAGAATCTTCACAGTTCATCGTGCAATTCTTCCTTTGGTGAATGATATTTTGGCTCTGCTGCAAGGAGATACCTAGCAGCCAATGATGCATGAAGTGCAGCGCCATAAGGAAGTACATCTTCATTGATCATAAAGTAGGGTGAGTGGACAGATTTTAGCTGTGGACCGGTGTCATCCCGCATTCCAAGCATGAAGAAATAGCCAGGAATTGCCTCTTGGTAAAATGCAAAATCCTCAGATCCCATGAGTGGTTGCATGTCTTTAACTTTGTCAGCACCAAGCATGTCCCTTGCAACATTTTGGAAGTGCTCATGCAAGTCCTTATTATTTATGGTTGGAGGGAAAATGGGTACCGGTTTCTCATTTTCGTAGAAATCAACAGTTGCATTACACCTCTGCACAGCAGCTTGCCCTTTGATAACCTGTCACTTGAGTAAATCAGATTTTTGGGATGGCAAACTTATAAACACATGTGATTTGTACAACCTTCTAAATGCTGGGAATCCAAGAAAAAGTAATATTTTTCAACCTCTTTCTTAACATGCTAGACAAGGCTTTTGTTTTCTTCTTTGTACTTTCAAGGATTGCTGAACTATTTGCAAAATGGTTAACTCCAAATATCTAAGTAATATACCTCCTCGATCCGCTGCTTTAGTTGTGTTAAACTTTCTTTGGAAAATGCTCGGAAGGTCCCACCAATTGTAACTGAATCTGGAATGACATTGAAAGCACCACCTCCTAGAAATTTTGCAACTGTCACCACCTTCATGCAAATGGTTTGTTAAAGTCCAGAGTATCATAAAAAGTACATATCATATAGGTTTGATGGGCCGGGGAAAATATCTCATTGGAAGGAAAAGAAAAATTTTGTCATGATTGTTAATGGACAGGAAGAATGACTTAAACATCGAAAAACATATCCTGCAAAGAAAAGAAAATCTGAGAAAAGTAATCAAAATTCCACTAGGTTACATATTATATGTTATCTTTATTAATGAGAGTACATAAGTTCCTGACCTAATATTTCTAAGAATGATAATTTAATAAATATAACATATTTGAAATTGAATTGTCAAAGGGAAACCAAAATTTTTAGAAGTTCTCTCTTTGCATTTTTAGTTTAGGGGGGAATTTAAGAAGTTGTTGAACCTAGAGATCTCCTCCCTCTCATCAATGGATCAGATGTGCAAAGCTTCTTGTCCTCCCCTCGTCTATACTGTTTTAACTTTACTCATCCCTTAAGACCTTGGTTTTGTTCCCTAAGCAGTATTTACAAGGGCAGGTTCATAGAGTTGAGTAATTTCAGGTTCTACTTAAAGAAACATAACATGCTATTAACAAAATAAACATAAATCTATTGCTAAATTAGCTTAACAGAACACTTAAAAATACACCACAACACCAACAACCAATTCAAAATGTATATGCAAGCACATGACATAATTTCTCCGTTATTCTTTATAATTGTCCGTCATTCCATCCTGACAGATGGTAAACATGACCATTCACTCAAATGCACATCCTAGCAACTTGTTGCCTGATAATTACATCAGCCACATCAAAGTAAACTGCCGCAGCTTCGTTATGGAAAAACTGGTATCAGTTACATTAATCTTTAAAAAGGAAAGTTTTCTGCATCTTCAACATTTCAAGGAGTTCTTTTCAAAAAAACATTGCAAGGTGAACTGAACTGAATTCAAAAATCCAAATGAGGAATCATCTTGATTACAAATTTTAGAGAGGTAATTTGGGGTATATAAGGACAAAACAGCATCTATAGCATAATAACAGCATTATAGGAAGCCAAACAAGATAGCCAAATCATTTCTTAGTATGCACAGGAAGGAAAGCACAGAATGCAAGAAGCAGTGCAAAAAAGAAATGTACCTGGGAATCCAGTGGATCAGCTTCACGTGAAACAAGATGTTGTAGGCTAACAATAACATTAGAGGCTGCCAAAATTGGATCTATTGAATGCTGAGGAATGGCTGCATGGCCTCCTTTTCCACTTATTACTGCATCAAAGAAGCCACTCCCAGCCAATAGAGGACCGGGCCTGGAGGCCACTGTACCAATAGGTTGATCAGGTACAACATGTAGCCCAAAGATTGCATCAACGTTCTTTAACACTCCAGCATCTAGCATCTTCTTTGCCCCTCCACCTCCTTCCTCAGCTGGTTGGAAAACAAGAAGAACTGTACCCTGATTAAGAAATAAAATTGAACAGCATCAAGCATCTATATGTGAAAGAAGGAAGCTAACACAGTTAAAACTTTTGAGGGACAATGTGTGAATATCAATAGGAGAACAGGCACTGGCTACAGAATCACAGGCTAGATAATCTGCTGTCTTTCTTCAGTTAGGTCAGAAGTCTTTCACTAACCAGAATTTCAGGTTAAGTGTCTATCGATTGTCAGCATAACAATGAATAAAGTCTCTAACAAACATCCACAAGGAAATTTAAGTGCCTTATTCAGTAAGGGAATTCTCAGATGTTTCAATTACCTACGAATGCATAGGCTCCCTAGAGCTACCTAGGGAGGTACCTTGTTTTAACAATAAGATTTTGAAACAATTCCATATTCCTATTATACTTTAATATATTGTCTTTTATGGCATTTTCTCTCATGTCTACTTTACCGCATGCGCATCCTCTACCTTCATTATTATAGAAGAGAAAAAAATTGATACAAGGAGCTTCCATCAATCATATCCAATAAAACTTACACTGATGCCCCATAATACATTAAAGGTGCAGCATATGCCTTAAAACTAGTATCAGTGAAAAAAAGAAGAAGTTATGCTTGTATTGCAGCCAAATCACCAGACAAAATGACACACAATCCTTTATTACTTACCAGAAAGCAAGTCATCACATAAAGTGACAGTAAGGCAACAGAAGAAGTCTAGGTCTCATAGAAAAACTGAACAAGGCAACCAACTCAAGAAGAAAAGAAAGCCAATTTTGACAGTGAAATAGACTTTCTCTATCAACATAATAATCCCCTCTCAAAAGGCCATGTTTCAGATAACCATTTCTTTGACTAACATCTATGTAAGAAAAAATCATAAAATGGGAGAGAGGAACTGCAACAAGAAGTACAATATTATTCAGAAGTTTTGTCTTTCTCTCTTAATTATATCTAATTTCACTATCCTTTCCCCGAAAAAAGAAACAGCCTCTCCATTTAGAGAGAAAGAGTGCTCTTCCCTTCTTCCACATCTCCATTACCAATGAAACACTATTCCATCTTTTTAAGGAAAAAAAAAAAACTAACAAAAACAACTTTCTGTAGCCAATCATTCATCCCATCATCTTGGTAATTTCTTCATTATTTGACCCGATCATTAACCAGCGAAGCAGAGAGCTTCAGTTTTGTGGTTCAAAAAATAGTACTGTCTGCCAGAGCAGCATAGAATGACATTTTGATAAACGAATATATTCACTAGCATTTCCTTCATATCATATATTACCAAGTGAAATTAGCAGTTTTGCAATGATATAATACCTTTTTTTGAAGGAGAAGAACACCCAGAAGGCCTAGATACCAAGCTATAGACTCAACAAAATTGGACTGTGGATACATAAATATGAAATTAGTAAGAGAAATTGATTTGACACACCTTTAACTCTTCAAGATGCTCTTTCAGTATTTTTGCAGCACCAAGAAGCATTGAAACATGAGCATCATGCCCACAAGCATGCATCTTCCCTGGATTTTTACTCTTGTGCTCGAACTCCACCAATTCCTACACATTTCAAACAGCCCATTCACGGAAGTTCACAGTTGATTCCTTTCTTCTTACGATATGAAGAGAAAAATAGAAAGCAAACATCTTTTTGAACATCAAATAAAATCGGTGAGCAAGAGTTTGACTAAAATAATTCTGGTTTACCAAAAAAAAATCATATTAGCACAATTGGTAAATCATAAGATTAATTTCAATGAAGTCTGTACACCAAGAATTGACATATCAAGCTCAATCCATATACATCCAACTTTAGTGAAAGTAAACACAACTGAATAAAATCACTGAATTATACAATAATTAAGGCCCATCTTTGCAGATTTAGTTAGCTTAAGACAAACTAACTTTCAAAAACCAGAATTTCTAAATGAATCCGAGAAGATAAGAGAAAAAATAAATTCAAACCTCCATAGCAAGAGCATCCATATCTGCCCTTATTGCAACAAAAGGAGGTTTACCAGTCCCAACATAGCCAACAACACCAGTAACTGAAACTGGGTACTTATAGGGAATGCCCATTTTATCCAATTCTTCTCTGATCAGCTTACTAGTTTCAAATTCCTCATATCCCAATTCAGGATTCTCATGTATCTTCCTCCTAATACCCACTATCCAATCAACAAGCTCCGGCCCCTTAGCAAAATGAAGAAACTTCTTGGGGATTTCAGACCACCCATTTGATGAGCTCAAAAAAGAAGATGACAAAACAACTGTTGGATTAAGCAGATGCAATATCAAAACAAAGGATACAAACTTGGAGAAACTCATGCTTGTTTTACTGGGGGAACAAAGCTTAAAGCTTGAACTTTTTAGGTCACAGAAGAGAATTTGTAAGTTAAAGCAAGATGGACTGTTAATTGTTTTTGTTGAGAATAATTAAAGATTTTGGTTCCAGGGAATCCGCAGCAATGTTTTGCTGGGTTGATGTTTTTTCGTGATAATATAAAAGCATTAGGTGACTTCCTAGCTGTACCTATCACAGTCCACAGTTGCCCCACGTGCTGAATTTACCTAACAATATCTGACTTGCTGGTTAGGAAGTCTTGGACGGCAAAGAAAGTGCATTACGAAATCTATGTTGTGAAACATGAATAATAAGATGATTTTTTTTCTTTTTTTTTGTAAGCTTAATTATTAGGGTTAACGTCAACAAAAAAGCATTTAAGATTAGCAATTAAATCAATCTTTTCATTGTTAATAAATTTTATTATTAAGAATAATTTATTAAAAAAATACTAATTAGTGGTTAATGGTATTGATTAAAGTGATATTTAAAAGATTAATATATCATCTATTGTTTAATTCAAAAAACAATGAATTAAATGAAAATTTTTCAGTACATATGAATTACTTTTAATTAATATTTATAAATATCCTAATTTATTAAGATAAAAGAAATTCCCTCAATTTCATGTTTTGTGGGAGTAGGTCAGAAGTTTTGAGGGGTACCTCAAAGAGACCTTACCAATCAGTCAAACGCATTTGGAAAACGTGCCAACATGGAAAAAAGCATGATCCTCGTTTAATCGCCTGCGCCACTCACGCCGTAGATCAAAGAACACACATCTCACGAAAAGAAAATCTTATTTATAAATTTAAAATAAATTTCATCTTTAATTATTATAGGAAAAATACTCTAAATTTGGATAAGATTGCTTTTGAATGGCAGGTGAAAAGGTTTGTTTTAATTAATTAATTTATTTATGTTTTATGTAAAGAAATTTAATTACCTTGTTCTTATATATTTAAATAAAGCATTTATGGTAAAATAAGGAAAAGCATTCAAAATAAAATTTCAATAAAGAGTAGATACCAAAATATGGTAATATTTATATTTGGTTATCATGTTATAAAGTTTTAATTGAAAAGTTTTGGCTAATAAATATTTAATTTTTTATTTGAATAAACAGTTATTTCATTTAACTAAGCAAAGGGATTGATTTAGTGTTAGGCCCAGCCATCCCGTTTTTTGGGATGTCTTCACGGTTGGGCCTTAATTATTTCATTTAACAGCCAACCGTGAGTGAATCAACTCTACTCTTTTCGCGGCACGTCTTCAAAGGAACGCTGACTATGTTTTCCACGACTCCACCTTTCTTTTTCTTTGTAGGTATGGTACTCTCTGTTTGTTTCCTGCGAAAACCATGAGAAAAAAAAATTACTCTACTTTTGAGCTGAAATTTTATGAAAATCCAGATGGAAAAAAGAAGACCCTTTCACCCAATTAAGGGTGTACAAGCCTAAGAGTCCTTCGTTTTTGTCAGGTTTCTTGAGGCCGACGAACCAGATCAAGGACCCTTTTAATTTTTTCTTCTTTTGTTGTTTTGATTAAAAAATAGTCATGTTAATCACTCATCAATCTCAATAGAAGTGATGTAGCAATCTAATAAGAAATCCCATTGACCAGATTTAATAGAATTCAGGTAGCAATCTTAAAATTCTCAATTATGGAAATATATGATTTGCTAGTAAATGATGATATTTGTATAAAAGCAGATTTTCCTTTTTCCCAGGACAAGTGATGTTGGTATGCATAACGAGAGGTCATCTCATAATTCCACTTTATCCCTTATAAGATTCGACTGTCAAGATGAAATTTAAAGTTCTAACTATCAAGATATCTACTTAAACCATTAAAAAAAAAACAAAAAACAAAATTTAACAAAATGACTCTTAGTTTTATGGTAGAACTAATATGCAAGTGAATTTAATTTCCCTCACTTTGGAACTTTTCATAACAGAGATTCAATAAGCCATTCAATTTATATATATATATATATATATATATATATATATATATATTCTTTTGTGTTAGGCAAACATATTGTTTTGTGATAAAATATGTAACCTGAAGTAGTTGAATGCATGTTATTTTCTAAAGGCAAGGACTCTTGTCACGGAAGTGTACCAGTGCTTCTCCATCCTTGCTTTTCTTACTGTTGTTTGCTTCTCCGTTGGCTTGTGATAGGTTAGAAAATGTTGACTTTCTGTAAAATAATTCCATCACAGTGAATGAGAGAACAGAATTTGCTGATCTGATGTCGCGAGAACCAGGTATTGAAACAAAGACTCCATCACATATGGGCTTCTTTCTCAAATTAGTGTTTGATCAGCGAAAATTTCATGGACAGCTGATAGATTTACATATGTTTTCTCAAGTACAAATTCAGAAAAATCAAGAACGTGCAGATGTTAGGAAATTATGTTGACAACACTCTGCAAAGACTTGTTGAGTAAAAACACAGTACACAGAAATTTGTGTACTTGTATAAATTAGCAGATTGATGTGAAATTGGAAAAATAAAATGTTTCAAAAAATGAAATCAGAAAAATCTTGTTCAGTTTTATAATGAAATATAAAAAGACTATTTATAAAGATAGCTTATCTTAAATCTACTAGTAACTTAAGTAAAAAAAAAAGTATTCTAATTTTAAATTTTCTTAGAGTACAAGTAAAGTAAAAAATAATAAAAAAATTACATAAGTAAAAGAAAATATCTTAGGATAATATCCTATATCATATACAAGGATGTAAATAAAATAAAAGATCTTAAATTAATTATCTTTTACTCCCCTCAAGTTGAAGCATGAAAATTGGAAATACCTAACTTGGCCAGTAAAGCTTGAAATCACTCTTGACCAAGTGCCTTGGTTAATATGTTTGTTAGTTGATACTGAGATGAAATTGATTGGGGTGATAAAATTTTGAATTGAATATGTTGCCAGTGAAAAGGTGGTCTATTTCAAAATGTTTGGTGTGTACATGAAAAATTGGATTGTCTATAATATGCAATAATGCCTACTTGTCATAAAATAAAGAAATTAGATATGGTTATGATACTCCCAAATTAGACAGCAATCGAAGAAGCCAAAATCTATCTTGTAATAAAAGATCTTCAATAGCTAAATGTAAACAATGAATGATCAAATGGGGACTTCTAAAGATGATAAACTTGGTGCTTTTCCTATTTGGCAAAGCCTTGAGGAATCTTCATGTAGACTTTCTTTTCAAGATTGTCATGCAAAAAGGTGTTGTTTACATTTAACTGATGGAGTTCCTAATTGCACACTGAAGCAAGTGATTGTGAGATAAAGTAATTTGCAAATGAGGTGCCTCAACATGTCGTGTTTGCAACTTGATGATGTCTGACCTAAAGGTGTGCGACGCTTTTGTACAAGACCCTATGGAGTGCATCTCTCTCATACAAGGAATTTAGGTGTTCGGACCTCTTGGTCGAGACCCTATGGTGCTCGACCCGTGGGTGTGTGGTTTGGGTGTGCGTGGCACTCACATGTGTGGCTATTTGGGATGTGCTTGTAGTGCGTGTGGCCACTTGTGGTGCAAGTCGATATGTGTGTGGCCTATTGGTGCAAGGCTTCAATGTGTGCGTAGCCCAAGTGCACTTTTCCTCTTGTGCGATGCACATGCGCATGCCTTTTGGGCTCGCCGAATGTGCGCGTTCCAAGTATGCATGACTACGTTACATGCAACCTCCTGTCATGGGGTTGTAATGTCCACAACCCGCTATCATGTGAGTTGTGTCTTCGTGTTCTTTTGGTGTGGGGGCTTTCAATGTGCATGGCCCATACGCTCTCCTTACACATTCATTGGCACTCAAATGTGCAATCTTCTTGCTCTTTTACTGCTTGTGTGCAGTCCTGGCACACCGGGATAGCGTTCTAGGATTGTCGATCCATGTCGTGTTGTAGGGCTTGTTTGGGTGCATGCTATTGGTGCAGCTTGACTTTGTAAGTGTGTGGGTCATCTAGCAACCCCCAATCAATGGTGGCTTGATGCTAGTTGTCAATGGGCCCCCAAGTAATGTTGGCCCAAAGCTGATTTGTGCCATAAAGCATGTGTGGCACAAGTGTGTGCTACTGGTCTGAGCCTTTTATCAAGTTAAACTAATTACAAAATCGTACATCGTGACATTTTTTCCTACTTGATTCAAGCAACACCTTTGTGATCTCTCGTCATCTTAAGTCTTCTTCGAGGTCTCCACTAGCTTCATAGGTTCATTTAAGGCAACTCCTCATTGGCTGTCTCAAGAACACTTCCAATTCTAGATACATTCGATTGTGTGGATATTCAGCTTAACGTAATACTTGTTAAAGAATGTGCTACTTCAATTTTAAGAAAACACTTGAGTTTGCCAAGATCCTTGATGTGAAATTTTGCATCCAAATAATGTTTCAACTCAAAAATACGATTGAAATTGTTTTTGTGATGATGACATCATCAACATATGTGAGAACTACAACCCATTCATCAAATCCTTTGAATGTAATCTTCAAAACCTTTGCTTAAGCAATTTTTATATCCTCTTAGTACAATTTTCAAAATCTCTAAGTAAGCAATTTTCAAATCCTTCGAATACAATCTTCAAAATCTTCAAGTAAGCGCTTTTGAATACAATATTCAAAATATTTAGATAAGCATTGGATCTAAGATTGGAAATCTCTAAAATTAACATTCGGTTTGGCTATCAATCCATCGATAAATCCCTAGATCCAAGATTAGAAATCCTCGAAATTGACGTCGGGTTTTGTATTGATCCATCCATGAATCCCTTGATCTAATATTGAAAATCTTCAAAATTGACATCGGGTTTAGTTATTGATTTGTTCATGAACAAGATAAAGTTTATAGATTGAAATGTAGTCAAGAAATCATACTTAGTAAAATAATTATCTTTAGTTTCACTCAAAGGTTATGAAATAAAAATCAAACCTGAATGATGAGATTGATGCAAAAAAAAAAAAAGAAAATTTGGTATCAATTGTAATGTTTTGCATATTCACAACAAGTACCCTCATAAATGGCAAATCGCTATCCTCAAACCTATATTATGTCTGACAGATGTACAAATCGAAGTTTAATCCCTTTAAAAAAAAACAAAAAAATATTCTATTTGGAATGCATA